AGCTAGCTTTTAACGTCCAAAACCGACCCGCCTTCGAAGTCCCTTACTCCGAAATCTCAAATACTAACCTGGCTGGAAGAAACGAGGTCGCCGTTGAGTTTGCACTCCCCGCCGGCGATGGAAGCGATGCCGTGGCAAAACCCGGAAGCACAAAGAACCGAGGCCGCAAGGCTGCGGCAGGCCCCGACGAGCTGGTCGAAATGCGATTCTACATTCCCGGAACGGCCACGAAGAAGGAGAAAGGGGAAGGCGAAGGCGCTGAGGGCGAGGAAGAAGATGAGGAAGGGGCTGAGGAGCAGAATGCTGCCAATCTATTCTACGAGACGCTTATGGACAAGGCCGAGATTGGAGACGTCGCCGGCGATACCTTTGCTACTTTCTTGGATGTTCTTCACCTCACGCCCAGAGGTCGCTTCGATATCGACATGTACGAATCGTCCTTCCGGTTGCGCGGAAAGACATACGACTACAAGATCCAATATTCGGCCATTAAGAAATTCTTCCTTCTTCCCAAGAATGACGATACCCACACACTTATCGTGCTTGGTCTTGACCCCCCTCTGCGACAGGGTCAGACCCGTTACCCTTTCCTGGTTATGCAGCTGAAGCTGGACGAGGAGATTAGCCTTGAGATGAACATGACAGAGTCAGTTTTCCTGCGTCTGGGTTTCCTTCAACGACTAACAAGCTTTTAGGGATATCTTGAACACTCAGTACAAGGACAGGTTGCAGTCACACTACGAAGAGCCAATCCACCAAGTTGTGACCAAGGTCTTCCGTGGTCTATCCGGAAAGAAGGTCATCATGCCTTCCAAGGATTTCTCCAGGTTAGTAACTGCCCTATCTTTGCAACGCCTTCGCAACCCCTCCCCCACCCACCCCCATCCCACCCCCACCACGCATTGCTAACATACCTATAGCCACCACGGTCACCAAGGTGTCAAGTGCTCAATCAAGGCCAACGAGGGTCTTCTGTACTTCTTGGATAAGAGTCTCATGTTCGTTCCCAAGCCTGCCACCTACATTCAAATGGAGAACATCGCGATTGTTACAATGTCGCGTGTCGGAGGTGCTGTTTCCGCCAGCCGAACCTTTGATATTACTGTTACCCTGAAGGGTGGCTTGGGTGAGCACCAATTTAGCAACATCAACCGGTAAGTCCCCTGACATTTTCTTAACTTTTTTTTTCGGGGATATTCTGACATGAACAGTGAGGAGCAAAAATCCCTCGAGGACTTCTTCAAAGCTAAGAGTATCCGCATCAAGAACGAGATGGCTGAAGAGGTATGTACACTCTGTTTCCCTGAGATGTTAATACCAATTACTAATTATCTCCTAGGCTTCTGGACTTATAGCTGCTGCTCTTGACAATGATGCCATGGGCTCCAGTGACGACGAAGTACGAGCTGACCGTGGATCCGCAGATGAGGATGAATCGTCAGTTGACGAAGACTTTGCTGGTTCTTCTGAATCTGATGTGGCTGAAGAGTTCGACTCTGATCACGAAAGTAGTGGTGATAGTGATGAAGAGATGGCCGATGCTTCTGGTGGAGAGGATGAAGCTGAGCGTCCCAAGAAGAAGACTAAGACGGTCTAGATGTACAGCTAGTTTTTTTTTTCAAATATCCCAAGTTTCTAATACATTCAAATGTTTTTATACAATATTATGAGTGGAGCTCACGTGAGTTGGTGGACCAATGGGGATGATTTCTTAACCCCTGATCTCAGGAGAAGAGATATCTGGCAAGTACACTAGGTACATATATGTTCGCATATATACATGTACTCCGTAGTTTCTAGGCATATTATTGGGATCTACTTACGTTTCTAGCTAGAAATAGAAAAGTCCTTATTTGTTGAGAACCATAAGTGTGTGTTTTACTGAAGTAAATCAGAGTAAACAATAGTAGAAAAGAACCGAAATTAAGATAAACACGGCAATTTATGATAAAATTGAAGAAAAGACAAAGAAAAAAACAATCAAAAACAATCAAAAGCAAGAAAATATACGAGTCCAAATGTCCACATTGTATACTTTAAAACACATCAGGTGTTCTATGCGGATCCAAACCAACTCCAGAATAGCTGGGCCCCCCCGTTAACCTCCCCCCTTTCTTTCCCAGACTGGTAGAAACCTCCTTCTCTTCATCCTTCTCTTTCGTTTTTTTTTTCCTTTCCTCGTCTCTCGCTTCTGGTCAATTTAGTCCAGCCCCCTTTTTTTTCTTTTCTAAATCAATTCTAGGTAACACCCCCCCCCTTCTCAACCCCCGAATTTTTTCCCCTATCGCGACAATTCGACCCCACTGAAGATTACCAAAGCTAACTGACGACATTCATCTAGGGGATCTTAATTCACAGTTTTTTTAACATATCTTGAATCACCTAAGCTTTCGCAATGTGTAAGCTATCCCCCCGGATCAGGAGACAAACAATCTCGAGGCTCTTCCCCAGACAAGATGCTGATAAGTTTGAAGCTTCACCACCTGCGAGCAGCTCCCCAGTTGTGTCTCCCATCGCGTCCCGGGATTCACCAACCCCCAACAACGGCATGGAGTCGCCTCACGTCGAGCGTAGCAACCCCATGGGCTCCGGTATCGCCCAGACCGTCACCTCCCGCGACCCCAAGGCCGCAGCTCAGGCCGCTACCGACATGAAGAACGTCGTTCGCCGCAAGCTGACTGGCTATGTCGGTTTCGCCAACCTGCCCAACCAGTGGCACCGCAAGAGTGTCCGCAAGGGCTTCAACTTCAATGTCATGGTTGTCGGTAAGTTAGACAGATGATATTCCATGAACCAAGCTCATATCCACTAGGTGAATCCGGTCTCGGAAAGTCCACCCTCGTGAACACTCTGTTCAACACTTCGCTCTACCCCCCGAAGGAGCGTACCGGTCCTAATGCCGATATCATCCCCAAGACCGTGTCTATCCAGTCGACTAGCGCCGACATTGAGGAGAACGGTGTGCGTCTCCGTCTAAGCGTCATTGATACCCCCGGCTTCGGTGACTTTGTCAACAACGATGACTCCTGGCGCCCGATTGTCGAGAACATCGAGCAGCGCTACGACACATACCTCGAGGCCGAGAACAAAGTCAACCGAAGCAACATTGTCGACAACCGCATCCACGCCTGTGTCTACTTCATCCAGCCTACCGGTCACTCCCTGAAGCCCCTCGATATTGAGGTGATGCGCCGTCTGCACACCAAGGTCAACCTGATCCCCGTTATCGCCAAGGCCGATACCTTGACCGACGAGGAGGTTACCCTTTTCAAGCAGCGTGTATGTTTGGAATCCCCCTTTTGGTCCGATTGAAACTGTATATATTGACTCCTTCTAGATCCTCGCCGATATCGAGCAACACTCCATCCAGATCTTCGAGGGTCCCCGCTACGAGCTTGATGACGAGGAGACCATTGCTGAGAACCAGGAGATCATGTCCAAGGTTCCTTTCGCCGTCGTTGGTGCCAACTCCGAGGTCAACACTGCTGACGGTCGTCGCGTCCGTGGCCGTAGCTACCCCTGGGGTATCATCGAGGTCGACAACGAGGAGCACTGCGACTTTGTCAAGCTGCGCCAGATGCTGATCCGTACCCACATGGAGGAGCTCAAGGAGCACACCAACAACTTCCTGTACGAGAACTACCGTTCCGACAAGCTCACCACGATGGGTGTTGCCCAGGACCCCAGCGTCTTCAAGGAGGTCAACCCTGCCGTCAAGCAGGAGGAGGAGCGCGCTCTCCACGAGCAGAAGCTCGCCAAGATGGAAGCCGAAATGAAGATGGTCTTCCAGCAGAAGGTCGCCGAAAAAGAAAGCAAGCTCAAGCAGAGCCAAGACGAACTATATGCCAGACATCGCGAGATGAAGGATCAGCTAGATCGCCAGCGCAGCGAACTCGAGGAGAAGAAGGGTCGCCTCGAAACTGGACGCCCTGTCGAAGAGAAGGGCAGACGAAAGGGCTTCTCTCTTCGCTAATGTCCCTGCCTCCGCCATTGCTTTTGCCTCTGCCTATACATCTGGCAGCTAACTGACCCCACTCTCGTTCCCTTTTCTTTTCCTTACACTTGTCACCCATCACACTCCCTTACCATCCCCTAACGCAATGCTTTCTCACTGGATGGGCCCACGCACCGAAAAAAGAATGGGGTTTTTTTCTTACCGATTGATTGATAATACGATCCTGCGAGGGTCAGCCTGGGACCTTTCACTTCTTGTGATGTACTTTTTGCTACGCCATATCTTGTCTTGCCGCTTTTCTGTGTGCCCTATTACCCGTTCATTTCGTTATTTTCTTAGTGTTTGGGACATTGGTTGTTCGCCGCCTGTCCGTTGTGTTAGTCAATTCAGCGCTTCAGCTTTAGATTTTGCTCAAGTAAAAGGTTCACAGTATTTGATAGATCTCAGACGTATACGGTAGCTTGTGTAACAGATCACCTACGGGGTACTTTCTTATGCTTGTTTACCCATTAATTTGATGAACAGCAGCATTGGGCTAACTAATTGAGAAAGGAGCAAGCAAAGGTAGGGAGGTTATCCACCACATTATATATCGTAGCACGGGTTATATTCGTTGAAGTATGTTGTACAAACCCAAGAACCTAGGGCTGGTGAGAATATATAACGTAGTCGTAATTGAAAGGCTAGATGGCAATGTATATATAGCAGTGTCTGTACTATTATCAAGCGTGTCTTATAACGCAGGCATGCTTTATTCACTTTATATGACCAGAGAACTCCCCGGAGCCTTAACTTCCTAGAAGAGGTACTCCTGAAAGAGCAAGAGTAGAGATAAATAGATATCGCGTATGTTGTTTAATTGTTCCGACTGTGATATTGAAATTGATAATCTTTAGAGATCCTCTAAGTTGGTAGGAAAGAACATGCGAGAGACATCAGGGTCAAATATATCCTAGCATTTCCCCCAGTCTGAATTTTTCCCTTTTGGGCCCAGGAACGACTATCCGTTAGATTTTTTGTAATCACCCTAGCCTGCTTAACCAGTTTAACAATGCAGAAACGGATGCTTCAAAAGCTCACTGGCAGAGGGTCGATCCTGTGGATTCTGTTGAAGCATTGGCCAGAGAAATTGAGCAAATTGCTCTGTATGTTCCCCATCAAAATCAGATTTCAGCCTTTCCCCAAGATGAACAGCAAAGCCGACATAGCCACTTCCAACGATCTGAGTGACGAGATCCCTCAACATTTGGCGACATTCCTCCTCAGTACAGCCGAACCTCATCACAGGAAAGAGTGGCTCATTTGTAGCAAACTGGAATAACTGTTTGATCTAGTTAGCTATAAGCTACCACAAATGAGAAGAGCAATACTCACTAAGCAACCTAGTGCCCAGATATCAATCTTATTATCCAACGGACGCCCGTCAAACAGCTCAGGGGCTTTCATCCCGAAGGGAGTCACAGGACGGGAGTCCTTATCATTCGATTGGAAGGCTATTGCAAACTGTTAACGAGCCATATCTTGAATTAGTCAATGGTGCTCACCTCCACCAAGATCGCCAATCTTAACCGTCAAGCACGAACCATCGGCATCATGTAGGAAACCAAAAGGTCGCTGGGAGACCATCAAATATTCCGGAGCACTCGAGTCCGCTTCGATCCCCGGAAGCCAGCAAACTGGGCTAAACTTCGGTGGCATAAGAAGGTCCCGATACTCGGTCTGAGTGGTATTGAAAAGTATGTTTGCAGCATGCAGATCTAAAGGGATGCTAGCACAATTATTGTTTCCCCGGAGATATGATATTACTTACCACTATGAATGAAATCCGTTTCATGCAGAAATTCCAAACCGAGAATAATCTGTTTGGATATATTCCGCATAAACATTACACTTCGAGCCATACGATGAGCCGTCATTACCTGACCATCGGATAGCATTGAAGGGAACACGAGACAGGGGTGTGAACCGTTCGGACCGTTATGTTTGAAATGGTCAAGAAGGGAAAGAACGTGTTTCTTCCCCGGGTGATTTTTTGCCTGCGACAATTGAGTAAAAGTGGAGAGTTCCTTGCTTTTCTCCAAAGCAGTGGCTTTGAGGATTTTCAACGTGACGTCTCTCTCCAGTCTAGAGAGAGCTCTTAGAAATCGAAACACGTTAGGACCTTGAATACAAGGGCTTACGTGTAGTCCCATGCATGCCACACTGTGGAAAATTGGCCATATGACCATTTCCCGACAATTTCGTATCTCTCTTGGAATACATCTCCTAGATGCACGGGATGGTAGCCGCCAGGTTTGTACTCCTCAACGGGTTCAACGACGTCGTTGATCCTCTCAAAGCGACGCATGTCGATCGATGAGATGGGAAATGTTTGATTACGGTTATGATGAGGTGACAAGAATTGGAAACCACGGGTAGAAGATCAAATATACATGTTAGCGGAAGCGAGGGGTGGCAGCATTGGAAAGGGGAATATCATGTGATAAGCATCCTTGCTGGGTTATTGGAAGGTTTAATTCAACAGGAACATTCATAGTGAATGATAGTTACGTTCAACAATCGGAATAAAAGGGTGTGGCTAGTTGTGCGGACCGGTACTGTGATATATAGAGAACAGATAGGCAAGGAAGCATTCTAAATCTCTTGATTTATTCTTCTGTTGAGGACATAGAACACCCTTGCAACAAAGTGCTTAGGTGTAGGATGGTAATATCAAATGCTAAGGATAATATCTCCTTCGAAAGCGAGATAGCGGGATAATTAAGTTATAAGCTTTGATCTGCCACTTATTCATCGAGAAAAAGAAACATTGGGTTATCTCAAAATCCAAGTAGAACAAGAAGTGGGTACGGTGAGCCAATTATACCGCAAAGTCTAGCAGTGATGATGAAAAATTGTGTGATTTAATCTTCCGTCAGTAGTTGTCAACATGAAATGAGAGTGAAAGTCGTATATAGTCATATCCATAGATCCATAGAGTGAAGGTGAAGGTGAGGGTTATGTGAATCACGTGGAATAAATGACGTCACGAGGGTATTATTCCCAACCCAGCAGGTATAGCTGAGTGGTAAACGCTCAAGTTATGTCTCATCTGGGTGACAAAGTCCCTCTAAACTTCATCTTTCAAATCACGGGCGAGTCAGCTTATTAGGGAGAAAAAGTCCTCTATGCTTAATTGGGGGACAAAGTCCCTCTATGCTTGGGCCTGAATAAAAGCGGGCAGAGAAAACTCTACCTCTGCCCTGAATCATGTTTTTTTTTTGACATACCTTTTTCCTGTATGTCATACACAATATACGTGCAACTTCAGATTGAAGGTATACGGTGCAAGGCTGTAGCACTACGGTCATGTGAAGAGACCCGAGAAAGTTATTCCAGCATCTCTTAGCCTTAAATCATTGTGTCTACCCTAGTTACAGTGTTGTAGAGAAAAGACATGTCATGAAAACAACCTAGACGCCTACAACATATCAAGCTACCTAGGTACCGACATTCGTCTCTACTTTCGTCCAACTCTTATTTTTCCGACGATTGGACAACAGATGTACAGTAAAGGCACTACAGCTTTGGTGAAAATGTAAATTGACAGATGATGTGAGCATTTTTGTTATGGTACACATTTGGGACCTCATCTGCGCCAAAAGCGACTGGTCCCGAGAAAAAAAAGAAAGAACACGCCTGCATCAAGGGAAATAAGCAAAGAAAATGAACAGTATCAACCCCGATTTACCAGGCCTCGGTTTCGAAGTTCTCAACCCCGAAGTACGAGGCAACAACTGTACGGTCCGAGAACTTGCGACCCGCCAACGCCTTAAGAGCGGTGGTAGCAGAATCGGCGCTATCGTACTTAATGAAGATCTTGCCAGCACCGTGTCCGCGGCGGGGGATCTTCATTCCAAGAATCTTTCCAAACTTGGAGCATTCTTCGCGTACATCCTCCATGATTTCTTCGTAATCTTCGTCATTGAGGAGCTCGTCAAGCGTGACCATGTTGAGGAGCTGTAGGACCTGGGTGGCCTCGAGATCCTGGGAGGTGGTCTTGGCAAACATCTGCATGGCATTCACGCCCATGTCGAGGCCAGACGCTTGTGTGGTTCCAATGCTGGCGCGAACGAACTTGAGGTGGCGGTCACCTAGCTCCATGCCATTCAAACCTTCGACAGCAAGAGCAGTGTTGTTCGGGTCGACGTATTCATAAAAGGCAATTCCCTAATAAGATTAGTCATAAAACATTAGACGGTAGGGCGATCCTTGGAATTACCCGAGACTCCTCTGTAGCAGCATCCTTGACCAAGACAAACGACTTGAGGTCGCCGAATGATGTTAGGAGCATGATGATAGCTTCCTCATTGATGTAGACGGGAATATTAGAGATGCAGATCTTGTTGGGCGAGTCAGGCACCTCACCCAGCACAACTCCCTCTTGGACTGGCTGCGCTGCACTGCCGTCGGGAACAATGTAGTCCTTTGGTCGTCGCACTTCAAGTCCCTTATCTCCACTCTCAGCCATGGTAATTCCATCAAAGGCCAATGTAACAGTGGCATCATTTGGATCCTTAAACTCCAGAAGTGCGAATGTCTTATCTTCAGAAACTTGGGCCGAGATACAGGGGTCCACATTGTGAATAACGTTGAGACCATTCAACTGAAGATTGAAGAATGAAATAATGGCATCGCCCGAGACACCGGGCGGGATGTTGTAAACGAAAAGACGCTTGGATTGACGAGAGTTGGAAGGCTTGAGGGCAGCGTTGTCGCTATCGCCAGTGGGGGGGTTCAAGAAGTCCTTCATGCGGCTTGGGTCCATCGGTTGCTGACGAGGAGCTCCAGGCAGAGGGAACATCCCTGAGATCTTAGCCTGTTCCGCCGTAACATTCTCATAACCAGGGGGCTTCATATCCCACTGAGTCAGACGACGCTTGCGCGTCAACACCGAGGGCACATCTGTCAAGTCAGGAGTAGGCTCCTTGCGGCGCGGGGGTGTGGCGCTTCGCTTGCGTTCTCTTCTCTCACGGTCTCCACGGTCTCCGCGGTCACCACGTCCACCGCCACGTCGGTCATCAAACAAGTCGCGACGGGGTCTGTCGTCGAAGTCACGTCGGCGGCCACCGCCCCGATCACCGCCTCCACGCTCAGCCCGGTCACCTCGCTCGGCACGATCGCCACGGTCCCAGTCTCGATCATCACGGCGGCCAGAGTAGCGGTCTTCGCGCTCACGGGCACGGTAGTCGCGGCTGGACGAGTATGAGTTCACTTCACGCTCCCGACGGGAGTCCCCTCGGGATCCATGATGAGGCGAACGCGATCGACGTCGTTCACCGCGATCAGTCCGATCGCCCCGTTCAGATCCACGCTCGCTAACTCGTTCGGCACCACGCTCAGCTCCCCGTTCGGGTCTATCACCTCGGTCTCGATCACGTCGCTCGTCGCGCTAGAATTGGGGTTAATCGCCGCGGTTGCGATCAAACATTGGATACTTACGAAGTAATCGCGGGAACGTCCAGTATCTAAAATATATTAGCATCTAAATCACCAGTAATTGTAGGCATACATACCCCTGGATGAGTAGGTGTCGCCGTTCATGTTGACGTTGGTTGAGGAAATGAAGCTTTGTCGCCAGTGAAGGGGAAAACTCATGACCCGGAGCTGCAGGCGGTGATGGCCTTACCGCCGGGGTGTCGATTGATCTGCCGGCAAGAAAGACCAACATGGAGACAGCAACTCCGCAAGTCTCGAATGATTATTCTTTAGTCTTTGAAAGATGTCTGCAGGTGCTTTATCGGAATGGCAGAAGCTGCCCTTGAGCTTGAGTGAGCTTTGCATAAACACTACTCTCAGATGTGGCCAGTCATTTAGGTTTGTTAGCCAAGTTTTTGGCCCGAGATTTACAAATCAAACGACTGACCCTTTTTAGATGGCAGAACCTCCCAGAGAGTCAGGAATGGCGATGCGTTCTCTATGGCCATTTTCTGTCACTAAAGCAGGACTCAAATTTCTTGTATTATAGATCTGTGAAAACTCCTTCCCAAACATTCACAACAACCTCCGACAATGACCATCTCGTCCGCATTATCAAACATTACTTCAACCTGACGCCAAATTTGACCGAACTCTACTCCCAATGGTCATCGCAAGACCCCAACTTCAAGAAAAAGGCTGCCCAGTTCACTGGGATCAGGATCCTTCGACAAGATGCATGGGAAGCGCTGGTATCATTTATCTGCAGCAGCAACAATAATATTGCACGGATCTCGCAAATGGTGGAAAAATTATGCATACATTATGGAAAGCCTGTGGCCACGATTGAAGGGCGGGCATATCATGATTTTCCTCCCCCAGGCACATTAACTGGCAAGGACGTGGAAACCAATCTGCGCAAGTTAGGGTTTGGATACCGGGCTAAGTACATATACCAAACTGCTGTTATGGTATCAAACCGAGACAAAGGCTGGCTAGACAGTTTGAGCAACCCCGAGTGTCCAGCATTTGGCGTGGATCCTAGTCCCAGTGGTGAAATGAAACCAGAAGGGAGAGAGGGATATCGGGAGGCCCATGAAAAGCTTCTTGAGCTACAGGGAGTCGGGCCCAAAGTGTCAGACTGTGTCAGTTTAATGGGGTTAGGCTGGGGAGAGTCTGTGCCGGTTGATACCCATGGTGAGTTCTCTTGATAATATCTATGACTTGCCTCTAATCTCTTACGACAGTGTGGCAAATCGCACAGCGAGACTATCGATTTGGAAAAAGCTCCAATAAGAACTTGAACAAGACGACCTATGATGCTGTTGCCAATCACTTCCGCAAGCTTTGGGGCAAGGAAGCTGGATGGGCTCATAGTGTTCTTTTTACTGCAGACTTGCGGACCTTTGCAGACAAACTTGCTGCAACCAAGAAGGTTGACGTGAAAGTGAAAGTGAAAGACGAAGAGTCTGACGTCAAATTCGAAGCGAAAGTGACCACTGATCTCTCTCTGGAGGTTCCTAAGGAGGAGGACGTTGATGTAAAAGTCAAGGTCGAGGACATAGATGATGCCAAGAAGCCCAGCGGCAAGAAGCGAAAGGGAGCCGAGAACATTGTTACTGCAGCTCAAACGACAGAGACAAGGAGAGTATCCAAGCGACTTAGGCGCTGACGCTGTAGGGATGATAGCTATCCTGACTACTACATTATTATAGAAAATAACTGTACATTTTATACTACAATGTTGCAAAGCAACCAAATCATATGTCGGAGGCATAAATGTACGATGGAGACATGAGTCTAGTGCAATAAATGTGAATTTGTATTCAATAATCTTAGCTATATCAATGATCAATGCCTATAACCGTAGTTAGTATAACGGTCAAACAACTCATAACAAAGGCTTGAAGTTGAAAGAAGTAGATCAGAAGTCCAGGTAGATCATCGAGCTAGCATCCGAAAACACTAGCTCTGACATAAGAGGTACCAGAAAATAAAGTATAAACAAATGCGTTGTATCATCATGAAAGGTTGAAAATCGAGCAAAAAAGTTGGAACTGACCTGATATAACGGTGGCGAGACGAAAGGCGTGTCGACTATAAATATTATAATTTGCACTCAAGATGAACCAGAAAACATTAATTCCAGTCAACTCAAGTGCAAATCTGAGATTATTGGTCGTTGAGGTTGAAACGAAATAAAAAGGGAAACAAAAATGAAGTTTTTATCGACGAAAAGAAATAAGCGAAGTCTATCACGTGACCCCACACAGGCCCCATCTTTCCCGTCCACACTCACATCCTCACATCTCTTGATTTTCGATCTTTCATCCACGCCGACAACCGACCAGATTTCCTCCGCCGGACACATCACCAATCCAAAATGGGTCGTCTTCACTCCAAGGGCAAGGGCATTGCCTCTTCCGCCATCCCCTACTCTCGCACCGCCCCCGCGTGGCTCAAGACCACCCCCGACCAGGTTGTCGACCACATCTGCAAGCTGGCCAAGAAGGGTGCCACTCCTTCCCAGATCGGTGTTGTCCTCCGTGACTCCCACGGTGTTGCCCAGGTCAAGATTGTTACTGGTATGGAAATCCAGAGAAATGCGATATTTCAAGGATCGAAATTTTCTAACTTTTTCGTGCAGGTAACAAGATCCTCCGTATCTTGAAGTCCAGCGGTACGACTCCCTCCACCCGGATAATCACATCCGTCGGGTGAAGAGAGCGAACAATTTGTGTGGAGAATATTTTCTGGTTCGGTAAAAGAACTATTGAAAGTTTCGAAGCGCAAAATGCTTTACTCTCTCCCCGACACTGGTAGCAGAAATGCACCAGCAATTAAGCCTCTGCTTGGTCAAGAACATCTAGACTGACAGAGAGATTGGAATACAGGCCTCGCTCCCGAACTCCCCGAGGACCTTTACTTCCTGATCAAGAAGGTAAAAACTTTTTCCCTTTTTTCCCTTTATCTCCACTCGTGCAAATCATGCTAACCTCGAATCATCCAGGCCGTCGCTGTCCGCAAGCACCTTGAGCGTAACCGCAAGGACAAGGACTCCAAGTTCCGCCTGATTCTCATCGAGTCCCGCATCCACCGTCTGTCCCGCTACTACAAGACCGTCGGTGTCCTGCCCCCCACCTGGCGCTACGAGAGCGCCACTGCCTCCACCCTTGTCGCATAAGCGCATTTTGGGAGGATGAGTGGTTGACGGAGGGAACCCATCGGATCGTCGTGATCGTCGTATCTGGAGGGTATATCTTCTGCTAGATACAACAAAAAAAGATTACGATTATTTGATACCCTGTCATGAATGCTCTAGACTCCATTGGTAGTTGTAGGTCCGGTTATATAGGTGCCCATAATGATCGCCAGCTAGGTCAATATAAAGCGGGTACTCAAGTAGTATAATGGATTTAATCCCATACATTAACATACCATGGACCCCACATTGTAGAAACAAGGCTATGCTGTTCGACTTTAGACATATTCTCAATGAAATATATGTATAGACGTTATCACCCATCATGCTCGGCTCTAATCTCCCTCGCTACAGCATTGCAAAGCTCAACTTTAACACCAGCCGCCAACAAGATATGGATCCAAAGGCGCTGAGTATCACTCAACCGATCATTCTCCGACTTAACCTCAGCGAACATCACCGTCCTCGTCTCGTGATTCCAGAGAAACAAGTCCGGGATTCCCCCACCGCGCTGCTGGTACTCTTGCGCCATAACCTTACAGATAGTAGCAAGTGCCTCACCCCGGAAACACTGCACGATCTCAACCAAGTCATCTAGATCAAAAGACCAGTCAAGTCCAACAGCACAAGGCTGCACTTCCGCCTCACGAGCATGAATCTCACGAATGATTCGTTCCGCATCCCCATTCGTGATCTCAACCAGCCGGTGATTGATCTCCGATGCACGAGACGGATAGAAGACATCAGTATGTAGATCAAGCGGACACGTCTGAAACGCAGTCTGGAAGACATTGGGTACGTATGTGAACAAAATATCGTAAAAGAGGTAGCCGAACTGCAATCAACGTCAGCTCGATCTTCGTATCCAAATGTTGCTATACGGGAAAAGACTCACCAGCGTCCGCACAATCCCCCCCTCAGAGTGATACCCCTTCCATCCATGATCGCGGTACCAGCTCAAACACATACTCTCCACCCTACACTCGCCGCCCTCTCGCTCATCAACCCAAACAGTTGCTTTTCCCTTCCGTGGTTCACCCGTGTCAATACGGATACCTTCAATCGTCCGCTCAGCAGGCTTGCCTAGCATTACATGTCCGAAATCATGCTGCTCGCGCTTCACAATACGCAGTGCCTTTTCTAGCTTCGTAATCCGCTTCTGTAGGTCATAATGAAAGATCAGATGGCATAGAGGGTCTTCCAGCCCAGCCTCGCACGTCCGCAGAGCAATTCTCTTCCAATGCTTGCGCTGGGCTTCTTCGCTGCGCCCTTCTGAAGGCGTAAGCGCCCACATGTAGTGTTCTTCTAGCAGTGCCTTGCGTTGATACCAATTGCCGCGTCGCGCGGCGTGGAAGAGACGTTGGTCGAGGAGTTCTTCTAGCACCTCGTGCTCGCGCTTATGCTCCTTGAACCGCCCTAGGGGGTGGAGACTCTTGTGGATTATTCGGGTGAGAACCCATGCTGGTGAAAACCGGCGTAGGTATGCACCCTCGCCGCTTTCGTAGATACTGTCTTCTTTCTTTTGTTCTTGTTCGACTAGCTCTTTCCATCGGGGATAGGATTTGTTTGCAAGGTCGATAATCTGTTGGAGGGAGTCTGTCGTGACAGGGCCGTTGAATTCGAGGATGTTGTCAATGGCGAATTGGGTTTGTATCGCTGATTCGAATTCCAGTAGCGCTTCTCTAGACGAGAAGATGGAATTTGAGCGGCAGACGATATATTCAGGGAAGTTTCTTTTGGTCATTTTAGCTAGGATAATTGTTGTGAGGGACTTTTCGGTCCACTCTGTGGAACGATAGAATACTAGGTGCACTCGCTCAAAGAGAGTGCGAGCTACTGGCGAGATCCTGATACATCCACCTGTATAGTCTAGTATCTTCTGAGTGAAATGTCCGTCTCTGTTGTTCGTGTCTTTGAGTCCTGTTTGGGTCTGGCTCGTTTCGCAAAGAGCCGCCAGCAGCTCTTTCTTGCTCTTGCCCTGGACCTTGGCCTCCTTTGCAAATATCTTGAGTTCCTCCAGCAATAGGAGTGATGAAGCCTCTTCCAGCGTTGTGATCGCTTCTATGCCTTCTGCAAATCTGAACTTATTTCCCAGTTCTGAATCAGGTAGGCTTCGGTCCCGCTGTAGGTCCTCGGCAACAGAGAATAAATCCGAGATATCGGAGTAGTAGTTCAGCCGGTTGATACGATGCCAGGCAGAGGTCTTGCGGAGGAACAGTCGAACATACCTAGTTAAATATTAATCTCAGCCATATGACGTTCTACGGGAAGGACATACAGATACTGGGATTCATAGGACAGTCCCCGCCACTGAGTAAATATTTCCATTTCGGCCTCGTTAAAGAGATGCGATTCCTCTTCCAGCACAGTCTCCAGTGCCAGATTGAATGCATCCACGTAGATGGAGCTTTTGCCTTTCTGCCAGGCACCATCTCGTAGCCTCACATGTAATCCCAACTCAGCGTCATTATGCGACCTCTCGTACTCCTCGATTGCGGCCTCGTCGGTCTTGATGGCAGGAAGGGAAGTCTCGAGTTCCGTTTGGCTGTTTGTAATAACCCCTATATCATCAATTGCTGGGGCTTCCCCCGCCGTGACCGAAGGACTCGGACTGGGTGGTTTAATCTCTGCCTCTGTACTAGAATCCTCTTTATCAAAAGTCCGCCGACGTTTCGCGGGACGTTGTGTATCCCAAAAGTTCAACAAGGACATTCTCACTCGTGCCCATGGTAATCAGTCCCAGTGACTCGAGTCTCCAGTATAAGCCGACACGAACGTGTCTCGCGAACAGGGAACACGAGATCACGTGTCTCATATAACTCCATTAAGCTGTTTGCCCTGTTTGCATATGACATAGGCAAAGAAGCACAGTAAGAAAAAGAACTAAACAAAGACGACCTGAAGAAGAAAAAGAAACAGAAATAGCATCTGAATATCATTGGAAACTTCCTTGCAATCGCTAGATATAAAAAATGGCCTTACCAGTAAGCCCCAGCTCTCCCTCACGGATCGACACCGAGCTCCACAGCTTCCGCTCCGCCAGCACTCGCCGATTCCACTTGTCGCTACTCCCACTTCCCAAAAGATATCTCCCTGGCTCTCAATTAACCTGTGCAGCCTCCCCTCGCGTCTGATCCACCCGCCTCCTCGGCTCCTATACCCACATCACAATCGAAACCCACATCCACAATGGCCGAAACAAACGGCACGGGCTCCGGCACGCCGCTTGGCGACTTGGGCAATATCTCTGCGGGCCAGGTTCGCCCCGGTGGCGCGCCGGCGCGTGTCTATCTCAATGAGAAGGTCGTGCCATATTTGCTTGACGGGATGAAGTCCGTTGCGCGTGAGCAGTGAGTGGAGTGCTATCTATAGCTAGCTTTTCTATCTTGGTCTGCTGGATGTCTTTACTGATCTCTGTTCTTTCCCTTTGTGCTAGGCCTGCCAATCCTCTCCGTGTGCTCGGTGAATTCTTGCTTCAGAAGAGTAATGAAGTGGAGGGCGAGACTAAAAAGGAATCGGAGTAGGGAGAAAATGGATAGGATTTCTTGGGCGTTTGGTGCTTGATCGGCTGTTCTAGGATTGTTTTGTTTTTCTCCTTGCTTTTTGTATGCAAAGGCATAGATGGCTTTGGTGTGAAAAGCTTCTAAGTGGACTTTGATGTACACTAGGACGTTCACAATTTGATACCCCCGGTCAATGTCTATATCTGTCTTGCTAGTAGGGTCTGAAGGATAGCAGAAAAGAAATATAGTGAGGACGATCTCTTGAAAAGGAATTGCGACCCCTAATATCATCTCAAATAGACTAAATTGTTCAAGTCCTGCCCCAGATGAGCGGCCAACTATACTTCCATGGTAAATAAAAGAATATAGAGACCAGATTAATGCTTATGGGAGGTCGAGGAACATAAATTCTCTAACTATTCGAGCATGTTATTCTCTGAAGACCCCAGTCTCAATGACTCAAACAAAATCCACAGCCTTGGATACCTTGCTGCCCCAAAGGGGACATTGGGATGCCTACAATCTTCAAAGTAGTGCGCATCTCATGGAGCTCTATGTTGAGCAAAGCTCCTGCAGACGATGCATCGGATATTCCAAAGAAAGCCTGTATATATTTTATAGGGTTGGATATTCCTGAGTAGTATAAGTACAAGATCCTATCCCGACCAAACGGGGAATAAGGATTCCAAAATGATTCCAAAAAAAACCTAGATAGGTTAGCAAACATCTCACCTTCAATAGCATTAATCTCCAAATGGATTAATGCGAGGTTTAAAAGGTTGAGACTACAAGCGCAAAGTCGACGGCTTTGAAGGCGAATGGTTCATTCAGCTGTTTAGAGAAGTCGAATACAATCGAGCCGTTACTGGAGATGGTGTAGAGGTGAAGTTGTAGCTGTGTGACGAATTTGTTGACCATGAGATAACCGAATTACAGCGATAATTTTCTGTCCCTTTGCCGCTATTTTTTTTTCTCCCGAAGTTGTGTCGCGAATAGACACAAAAGAGACGACAACCGAAGTGTGAAGTTGCCGAGTCGTGGCGCTCCGTTTTTCTTTTTTTTTTAAAAATCGTCGAGCCGAGAACAAACAAAGACAGCGACGCCCCGCGGCCCGTCGCCCAAATCCCGCATTAAAAAATCCCAGAAACAAAGAAAAGGGGGGAGGAAGTGGGCCAGTTGGTGAAACATGTGAACCAGGAAATAGGAGACATCAAAGACCAGTCCCTGTTCTGGTTAGAAAACAAGGGGAGGCACTTTACCTGCCAGCGTACCGATCCTCGCCGCCGCCAGGAGCACCACCGGTGCTGCTGCGTGCTTGGCCTTCGTAAGAACGTCCACCACCACCAGCGTAGGGGTCACGAGCCTCACGGGGAGGGCCAGCAGCATCGAAGCTAGGAGGGTTGGCATCACGATCGTAGTAACCACCACCGCCACCGCCACCGCCACGAGATTCCTCACCACCTCCACGACGCTCGTCACGGCTGTAACGGTCATCACGACCACCACCGTAGCGGTCACCACCACCGCGGTATCCGTAGTCATCGCGCGATTCACGGCGGCCACCATACTCACGGCCACCACCACCACCAGCGTAGTCGCGACGACCATAGTCACGTCCGTAGTCACGGCCATAATCGCGGCGATCATTGTAAGAGTCGTAGCGACCGTAGCGGGAGTAGTCATCATCGCGACGACGCCAGCCGCCACCAGAGGGGCCACGGCGATCATCGTAACGGTCACGGCGGGGACCACCTCCACGACCTCCAGGACCACCAGGACCACCAGGGCCGTCTGAGTAAAGAAATGTAAATTTAAGGCGAGGCAAGGTGCGACGGAAGGGATGTTGTAACTTACCACGCTTGGGAGGACCGAAGTACTTTCCGGGGGTAGGGGTACGAGGACGAGCACGACGAGCCTTCTCGATGCTCAGGGTACGACCCTCAATGACCTCACCCTGGAGACCCTCCTTGGCGGCATCAGCCTGCTCGGCGGTGACCATGTTTACGAATCCAAATCCACGGGACTCCTTGGTGTGGGGGTCAAGCATAATGGAACAGTTCTCGACGTCGCCATACTTCTCGAACAGACGCGAAATATCAGATTCGGTCAAGCGCGGGTGAATACCAGTGACGAAGAGGTTGGAGCCAGAGTTGATGGCACCTTCATCTTCCTCCTCAATAGGCTTGCGAGCCAGAGGAGCTCTATGATGTTTATTAGCTTTGAATTGATATAATATATTAGAGAAAAAGATACCTGTCATCAGAGCGGCCATTGGGGGAGCGGCTGCGAGCACGGTCGCGGTCGGCTCGAGGCTCATCGCGAGGAGAGGCGCTGCGCTCACGATCGTACCGGGGCTCATCTAATGAAAAATGTTAAATATTTTCAAGCGCGTTGAAATAATTCTAAAACACATACCCGCGTAGCGGCTTGAATCGTTGTCGTAGTCCGCCATGATGAAAGGACTGTGAGAGAGTAGGTTGGAAGGAGGAAGAAAGAGAAGTTGGAAAGCTGATAAGAGCGGATACCCAGAACTGCACACCCGAGGAATCAGGCAGCTGCGCAAACTGGGAATTTGAGTAAACTTCGGTGAATTAAGTAATTAGGTGATTCAGGAGTTGGAAGAAAATTCAGAGATTTCTTTTTCTTTAAGAAATGCTGGAAATGCTGAAAATGCTGAAAATGCTTTATGCAGGGGGGGAAAAAGCCTTAGAAGCACCGCCAAGACCGAAGTAATCGCCATATTAAAGCTTTATTAGCTATTGAATTACACTCATATAACAAACTACATTCCTAAAATTGTACGCTAAAATCAAAATCATGAACGCTATATCATGTCCAGAATCATCGTGAGCCCCGCAAACGTCGAGTTCGACGAGTATTCTGTTGTGAAACAGCTGGAGTGGTGGTTTCGCCTTTCAGCTCTCCATCGTCAACCAAGTCCTTTAAGCCTTCGAGTTCATCCTCATCCAGTTCACTAAGTTCTTCACTCATACCGCGCATGACATCCCGTCCAGTCCACCGTTCCTCGTGAACAGTTGTACCAACTGGGTCAAATGGCTGCATGTACCATTGAATGCCACCCAAAGCCAAAGGCAGCTGCTGGTCCTGTTCGGTCAAGACCGGCGTTGGATGCCGATAGTAGGTGGGAACATTCTTGATGGCTTCTTCAGCAGGAGGTAGCTCTTCTGCCCCAGATGGTTCAGGTGGTTGTTCATCTGTAGGCTGGGCTTCTGATGGAGCCTCTGTCGTAGCAACCGTTTCTTCAACTCCTTCCATAGCATCAGGGTGACCAGACAGCTCAATATCGCCTTCCGGCTCGGCAGAATCACCGCGTGACATCACACTATGGTCAAGAATCACATCCAGCTCCTTCAACTCCTTCTCGAATGGTTTCCGGTTCAACTCACTCTCTTTCCTGATCGCATCCTCCAGGGAGGGCTGGATGACTTTGATTATACGTTTTGCCAATTTTCTCTTCTCGCGTTGCTCCAGGCTGAGCTCCGGGGCGCGACCACTGATCTGCGCTTGGAGTTCTGCGGTGTCGCCAGCGGGCTCCACGCCAATTTCCGAGGTGAAAAGACTGGCCAAATCGGCAGAGAAGGCAGCAACGGACGGATAGAACCGTTCGTTAAGCCTTTGTCGGATTGACATCAAGCCTGCTGCAAACAGACCTTTGCTATCGAGCCTGGAATAAAGTCAGAATGAGTGTTGACAAATTAGAAAGAGGGTATCTTACAGTTGAGCTTTCTCAAAGATTGGCCACAGTAGTGGGAATGTAGGGAAGTAGACAAGATCGACGATGTTACGGAGCATTTCTGCATCCTTCAACTTCTCTTTCTCCCGTTTCTTCACTTCGTCGCATAGCATCCTCAATCGATCGAGATCCTTATAAAGTCGCTCACCAAACTCAATGCGGCGCTCCAGACGTTTATGTCCGGGAACACCCATTGCCACATAGTCTCTTCGTGTCATTTCCATGGATGAGAAGGTCTCCAGCTGCAACTGGAGTCGCTTGAGCAATGCTGCTCCACGTCTGGCCTCTCGTTTCAATGTCCAATACTTGGATGCATCCTCGGCATATTGCTTCCTTTGGCGGACCGTGAATCGCCCAAGAGAAGCGATCACCGAGTTTAGAACAACCTGGGGGATAACAGGGGCACCGGAGGGCAGCTTCCAGATTGTTCTGGGAACGCGTTTCCGTTTATTGCCGCCTACTGTCAAGGTAATGCGAGGTGTGAGGGTGCGATCCTCTTCTCCTCCTTCACTTGGGTGTGCCGGTCCCATGGAGAGTGCCGCAGCTTGGCTGTCTCCCCAGCGTCTGCCTTGCATGGTATTGCGGTAATATTCTATGGCATCGGCAGTTGCAGAATCAGTCCCATGCTCCAATCGCCAGTCAGGAGGAACATGCTTGTCACAGAAAGCCTTGAGAAGGTGAGAGTCCATAAGTCCATGGCCGATCTTCATCTTTAGATATAGTTGAGCTCTGCGTGCACATGAGACATGGAAGGCGACAAAGCAGTTTTTGTTGCTGCATTGAATGGATGCACCCATCCGCTGTTTGCAGATGTAGCAATTCAACTTCCAGCGGCTGCGTGGGACCTTTTCGACATCGGTCACCGGCTCCATAAGAGAGGGATTACCAATTGAAACTTCAGGGATCCAGAAAGAGCAGAGTAGATGAGCCCATTTAGATGAGGTTGTTTGTTTGAATGCACCCTCGGTGTTGGGGCAGAAAATACAATTGGTGGCCCCTCTTCCTAGCAACTGGCATTTGCGGCAAAGCCACTGACCTTCTGGAATGAAAGGAACTCCATAACACTCTTGATGCACCGCAAGGTCACAACCATCGCAGAAAACAATGGCATTAGAGTTTTCGCAATCGCCATCATCACAAATAGCACACTTGCTATCTTGTTCTTCGCCCGGTCCAGCTGTCTCGCCATTGACGGCAGCTGCAGAGCTAGAGCGAAGACGTCCGGTCTGTGGGGGTTTAGGATTCGGCTTGGGGATGCGCTTCTCAAGGGCGTGCCACTCCCTCTCGATTTTTGTCATAGTGATCTCAAACACAGCGGGTTTGATGGGTTCCAGCTGATCTTCACGGCGCTTGGAGTTGTATTCTTCTAGCCATTTTTCATCCTGCTCATCCATGTCATATTCAACACGTCCAATGGTGGTGTTAAGGTCTCCATCTGTCATAGCAGGTTGAATCACATCGAGGTCATCTTCTTGGGTGCCTTCGGTCATTCGAATAAATCGTCGGTCATGGCGGATGAAGAGATCGCTCTCCTGGTATCCCACGTTTGCCATGGTGCGATCAACATAGTTCTGATGACCGACACCCTTCTTCTCATAGAATGTGAAGGGGTCGCGCAGCCTGAACGACGGCTTGGGAAGTGTGAGTTTCTCCCGGGGGTTGGGACCCGGGGGTGGTATGATCTTCTGTCCTTGCTGGGCAAGAAGCGCGTTAAGAATGGCTTCTGGGCGACGAGGTGGACGGCCAGGCCTGCGTTTGATTGGGATTGGGGAAGCCAGTTCGCCTGATATAATAACTGGTGATCCTGAATGGTCTGAGACCGTCGCACCCGCCAGTGCCTCCAGACTCAAGATAGGAGCAGAAGTATCTGGGGCATCAACCTCTTCAGCGGTGAAGACAGAAATTTTGCCATCAATATCCAAGTCAGGATGGAACTCTTCCCATCCGCGCTCTTCGCGTGGCTTGTACCCATCGCCTTGTTGAAGAGCAAGAGCAGCGGCCGTAGAGGAAGTGAACCGACCACGGGCTTGGTTCTTATCGCGCCTTGGACGCGACATAGAGGGTGGTGTTGTTGGTATGATGGGAGGTGGCGGTGGAGGGGCTAAGAATGGTTGGTCCATCTCACGGCTTCGAGCACCTGCGGAGTGGCGTCGAGGAGCACTAGTTTTCTTGGGGGATTCTTGGGGTTCGTCGGCGGCGGCAGCAGCAGCGGCAGCTATCGTAGCGTCGAAGTCGATGAATCTTCCTCCTCCTCCAGGACCACCTGGAACGTACTTTCGCTTTTTTGAAGGAGGGCCGTCAGGGGAATCGAAGGAGCCGCTGTTGGATGATTTAAGGGAAGATCTAGGTTTATTGCGCGATGGACGACCAGAGATTGAATGTCTGACCGCCGGTGCCATAATTTGGGAAAGAGCGTTCGGGCGTGTATGTTGATCCTTGGGGATGGTGATTGTTAATCGGACGGCGTCAGGTCGCGTTCAGAGGCCGACTCAGGCGGGGCCTCGGTAAATATCAGAGCTGCAAGTCTCAAGTCATGCGACAGCAAACTATAAATGAATGAGTACAATAGACGCAAAAGGACGCCAGAGCCCGTGGAAGCTGCAAGGCGCGATGAGGTGTTTGGTTATCTGGTCAAGGCGGAGACGTCCGAGCTGGCTGGGCCTGTTGGCCTGAGGCGCCAATCCCGGACTTTAAGCACCTCTAGCTTCACATGGAAACATGACATCCACAGCTACTCCTTGCAAGCTATTTACGACTTCATTCCTTCGATAAAGCTTTGATTTTCCATTTTTACCAAGATTACAACATGAGCGGTTCCAGCGACAACAGGTACGCGTTATCCACCCCAAAACACCGCGCGCTTCAGCTTCACTAACTGGTACTGCCTTCTTAAGATGGCGGGGTGGACCCAGTCGCCAGGCGTCGCAGCGCAACTCGAATAACCGTGATAAATCAGGAGCACAGGGAAGCGGACGTGATAACAATGCTGCTTGGGGCGCATCCAACCCTCCGCAGGAACAGCATGTCCCTGTACGGGGCTTCAACGCCGCGGAGGTTAAGAACATCTTGAAGCGTATGTATATGCATCTAACCCGCAAGTACAAGGGCTGACCAAGCTTCTGAAATACAGCAGGGCCTAATGGTACGTCTTATCTCTACCTCCATATCTACAAAGCCTAACTTGTGCGCCATTGATATAGAAACCCAATTCGCGACACCCTACAAAGCTCATCCTAAAGACGGTGCTACCCAACGATCTACCGCCTGGGGAGCCAAGGGTAAAATCCCCATTCGAACGCAGCCTTCCCTTGAACAAACAGTAACCATATCCACAGCGCACCACATGGCGAATGGGAGAGACTTCTTCTTAGAGCTTCGAAAACAGATTGCTACACTGCAGCGAAATGGCCCCCCTGCCGGCGGCTGATCACGATTATGACTTCATTATCTCAAAGTACTTGCATTGCACAGTCGGTCGGTCGCGAGTTTGGTTCGTTTTCATGGGTTGCAACGGCGCATCTTCGATACCCTACTGTGGAGGATGCATGGGTGATGAGTGGACTGGGAGGTTACATAACATCGGCGTCTCTGATGATTCTGGGTCTTACATGTCCATAATGCACTATGACTCCTTTTTTTTCAAAATTCTATTCATTGCAATTCATGCGCTGCATCATGACATCCGTGGGAATGAGATTGCAATATTTTACATGTGCTATTATACAAAGAGGGTATGTCACTAATATACAAGCGGTGGTTATTCACAATCACTCTTGGATCCAGCCTCCTGGGCCAAGGATACCTCCATCATCAGCTTTCGGGTCAAGGGTCCATTTGCGCAGAGGACGACAGCTGAGGTCGGATCGGAAGCCAGCCTCAAACATCTCAAGACCCGCCCACCCAATCATGGCCGCATTGTCAGTACACAGATATGGAGGCGGAGCAACGATCTTGATATTGCCAAAGCCGCGCACTTCCAAGAACGAACTGAGCACTTTCATGAGGAATTGGTTGGCGGCAACACCACCACTAACAACGAGGGTGGTGATATCGTTCTTGCCATTATTGTGCGGCCGCAGAGTCTCCAGCGCGATAACAGTGCGCGAAGCAAGGTGCTCAAAACAGACGCGCATAGCTTCCCGGCCTAGATCAACCCGCTCTGCATGCGACATCTTAGTATCTGTACCTTTGTTCTGAACGATCTTCCCAACCATGCTCGAAATGGAAGAAAAGCTGAACTGCATCATGCGCGTATTCGCAAATGGAGTCGTAATAGACCAGCCCCAATCGCTTACACGTCTGTCGATTTCTTCACCCCGAGTTATTGGTGGCGAGTAATCCGCAAAATCTGCCTTGCCATTAGGGAAGACGAATTTCTCCAGATTCTTGCCGTACATGGTACTTTTAGCTTCCTGAAGCAAGGAAGCAGGTAGGATATCTCGCGCGGATTTATCGAGTGCCTCTCCAATAGCTATATCCTCGCTTGAAGCTAGTATTCTATGGTCTGTGAGACCTTTGGAATGAACCAGGGTTGTATGGCCTCCAGAGACGAGGATGGATAGGAAAGGGAATTTGGGCACCATTGCGGGTGGGCCGTCAGCCTTGGTTTCATTTTCCAGACATGATGCAAGTCCGGGCGTTAGAAGATGTGCCTGCATGTGGTGCACTCCGACCATGGGGATCTGCCATGCAACCGACAGCGCTTTCCCAGTGTCGAGGCCAACGGACAGGTTAGACCGCATTCCGGGGCCTCTTGTGGCGGATATGAAATCGGGGAGGCGGCGACGAGTCCCATCAGCTAGTTTGAGTCCATCATCTGTTTTTGACTCCGGTAGGTAATTAAGGGCTTTCTGTACAAGGTTTGCGAGGCTTTCTTGGTGGGATTCGAGGGCGATGATGGGGTGGATTCCGCGATGCGCACGCGTATCGGCCGTTACATTTTCAAGGAAATGGATTTTAGCTGCGTTTCCGGGGTCTTTCTTTGTTTTCTCGACAATAGCGACTGATGTATCGTCACTGTTGTTGGTAATCAATTAGTTGGGCGGCTTTTTTTTGGACAGGCATTCACCTCCGCCTACCATGACGTTTCAATTGCCAACGTGAGCAAGCCACGGCGAGAGGTCAATCTCCTCGCATTTAGCGCTGATCTGCGAACAGCCACAGCAGATGTCACTGAGAATAACATTGGTAAAATGCTTAACATACATCCGGCGATAGGGGCGAAAAGGATCGGACGCGCACGGGCCGGAGAAGCCCTTAATTAGAGCCCTAAGACAGGTACTAAAATGGTAATCTATATTGATCTACGGATGAATGATGAAGAAGTGAAAAGCAGCTGAGAGGAAATGGTTACATGTACTGTTTCTTATGCCCCTCCTAGCAATAGATAGAATTAGCTTTGCCCTTTCAAGGTGATATGTCGGTTGCTTCTTCCTCACCCTCTCTATAACTACACAACACCATTATACCACCGAGCATTACCTTCGTCGAGCGAGGCCCCAGAGCATCATGACCTTACCTTATTCTTTGACAGTGACTCTGTTTGATGGTAATGCCTACAGAGGAATAGCATTGCTGAAGTGCGACTACAAATAATTATTTACGTCTCCACGACCCGATCTGGAGCCGGAGCTGTAAACAGGAACCAGAATGAGAGCAGGTCTCCAGAAATATCATATGCCGTCAAAATTCTAGCATTGCCTTGCTTGGGATTACTAGGGCCAACGTCAATCTTAAAGCGCGCTAGTGTGTCAATAGAGCTCCCTATGTTCGGGTTTCACGGGTAGACTCAGGGGTATAGAAATGCGCTTATGTACGTATGTATGCTGTACTGGCAAAAAAAGACATGATAACTTAACTACTTGAAAACAGCTTCAAGGTAGGGGAGGAGAGGAAAAGGGGGGGAAAAAAAAGAAAGGCCCAGCCGTGATTTGAACACGGGAATCTCCGCATTACAAGTGCGACGCGTTAACCACTGCGCTACTAGGCCCGAGGGTTAGTAGTGGCTTTACTCTATGACTTATATCGGATGCTATAGTTCCCAAGAAGTTTGATATCTTTCTTATGCCCATACAAAAAGCACATAAGAAACCAAGTTGCTTTTATTCTTGTCTTCCTTTGGCTATGTATTTTAAGAGTTTGAAAAATAACGAGCTTAGTGTATATAATTTTGTGGCCGTACAAGGAGATATCTAATTCTTTTTTAACATCTATTTTCCAAAAAGTTTCTGGACTCAAACTTGAACACGCTGGTAGACAATTTTGGGGGTGTGAAACCTTAGAGAAGCAAAAAAGCTAAGGGCCTAGCCGTGAATTGAACACGGGATCTTCGCATTACAAGTGCGACGCGTTACCACTGCGCCACTAGGCCGGTAACATGTATTGAAGAAAAATCAGAGTCAATAGAAAGGCATGAGATAAAATCCCTATTTAGGTACTCATTGAGGGTGGTAAAACGGCCCTCCGGGAAAGCCGTGACGTAAATCCGGTACTGAAAATATATATAACGAAATAACTCTTTCTCTTTTTATTGAGGCTGGGGGGCTTCGGTACGGGGGTATGAGAATCTTGGTTAAATTATCATAGGACTGGCTACTTTGCGACCTGCTGGTTCTAAGTATTCGGCGAATGCATCTATAGTGATCTGAGGAATGCACTGTGTACTGGCGCAAAGACTATTTATTACCTATGAATCTTGAATTTTACTTAGTATAAAATAGAGTATGTCAAAATAGGGTCAAGGGCACCGTTGTATTTGCAGTAACGAACGACTAGGTTAAAACATTTGTACTCAAAAATCAAAATCATCAATCCAGCTCCCATCATAACGTCATAAATATATTGTTTCTCCAAAACATTGATACATCGTTGTCCCTTCAAGTACAGAGCATGCGGCGCGCATCGTAGGCAGCCCAGATAGATGACATTGATGAGTTCTGGGCCAGCGAAAAAGCGCGAGGCAGCATAGCCATCCAAAGAACCATCTTGCGACAGGCTGGATGAACACTTTAATGCGCCGTTCTGCAAGTTCTAGGAATTCACCTTGCAGTTTGAAGCTGTCCATTGTCGGGCGCGCGAGGTGTGCGAAGTGAGGTGATCAACAAGAGATCCGGGGTGCAGGATATGGCATTGCAAAAGCAAGATGTACCCGAATCATTCAGAAGAACCCGATCGCTCCAATTACTCCAGCCATGGACAGTCAGTAGTGATACAGATCTCGAAAATCATCTCACTGTCGGACCGTCCATCGCCGCTCTTCTCGTGACATCTTCATGTGTTTGCCGTAATACTCGTCTGGATTCTCAATGGGTGTTACACAGTGGACTGTTGGCGTAACCTGGAATTGTATACGCTTGTCAACAGTAGCAGCACGCGAGGATGACTGCTTCTTGAGGATGCTCTTCGATGAGCAAGAGTTTGTGTATGAATAGCTTGGCACTTGTAGTGAGGAGAATCTCATGCTGGACGGGCTCGCCGCGGAGATTGGCGAGACAGGTGTACGAGGAAGAGTACTTGGTGACTTGAGCGATAGTGATGGTCGAGGAGCGTTCTGCACAGCAGAGATGCTCAGGGACAGCTTTGGCTTGACGACACGGGCGGTATACATTGTGACGGATGAAGAATCAATGATAGTCCAAGAAGTTCAAGTTCAAGACAAGCGTTGATGTTAATCGGGTTTTATACAGGGAAACTTTGATCAACAAAGATATCCGAGTAAGGGGAGAAACAATTGTTGACGCAGGTGTAAGGAGTTGAAGTTGGACCAGCCAAATTGAAGCGCAGGAAATAAAGGCAAAAATAGAAAAAAAAAAATAGGAAAATAGGAAAATAGGAAAATAGGAAAATAGGAAAATAGGAAAATAGAAAATGTTAAACAATATTCAAAAATCTGTCTCCTGGGGGACAGATGGGTGCAGCTATATACACATCAGAAGAGAGGGGAACCAACTTCTTCTCTAAGCGCCCACCCCATGCACGACGGCGCACAAATCACCACCATCACATTCGAGTTTCTAACTTGGGAAAGCTTCCGTCCCGTCCAGCCAATTAAAATCCCTAAGGATTGGACTCCCTGTCTAGTGTGATGTGATGGACGGTAGGATTCGATGGGAGGCACATCCATATGCCCTGCAGCCAACTGCACCTGGAACCACACCGTGATCTTCCTGTCCATTTGATTCGAAACTCTCGACCGACTATCAATTAATAGACGAAGAATATTGCAGTTACAGAGGTACACCAAGTGGATTCCCACATTATTGGGTGATATCCCCGCATTATCACAGTGACTAGCAGCGGCGGCGAACCCTGATTGGTTTGATGAACAAATTTGGAAGATCGTCGTACTATAATTAGATATCACATGGAGTTGATGGCGCTATTAACTATTTTTACTCTTCAGGATTGAGAGCGATGAATGACATCTACCCTTGAACATACTCCATAATCACTCCGAAGCCTACCAACGCTACATATTAAATGCAGTTATAGCACTGTTGGTCACATTTTTATCTAGCTTTTTTTGGGCGGCCAATTGACCTTCAGTCCTTACAAGACAATGCTGATCTATGTTACATCCTCCTGTGTGATCATCCTAGTAACTTTGTTTCCTCATTTTTCAAACAGAGCACGCATGCTGTGGGATGCACATAATGCTTGATATGTATCCTATTTATAGACCTCTAACATCAACGGCGCATACTTGACACATACGGAGTACTCATATATACTTGATTAGGATGAACACCAGGGGAGAGTGTTTGAACTGATGAGACGAGCGACTCGCTCTAGTATGGGCCTGTGGCTGGACCTTGGACGGTAAGAAAGATATTAGAAACAGAAACGCAAGAAATGCGACGGACATGCGCAGGAGACACGGGAATTTTGGAATAAGGTACCGACCCGAGATCCTATGAGATTAGCGGAATCCGTAGGATCTTACCGGTGTGAAGAGTTGGGACATAGGCTGGGGGGCTGGGCATCCAAAGCTTCCAAGGTTTTTGGGAAGATTTCCCCGGCGGGGGGCGGGGGGCGGGGTGGAAAGGGGTGGGTGGCTGGGGCTTAGAAGGCTTCGGAATAGGCTGGGTCTTGGCTAGCTTATTAGTTACTAGGCGTTGTTAGGCGTTGCTAGAGGACTTTAAATTGTTTAGACTATTGGGCTAGTGTGTTATGATAATTATATCTTAAATCGATACCGGGAAGATATGGGGTTGTATGGATGTTGAAGCTCACTCTTCAAGATTATAGAGGGTGTAGTTACTATCTTTGTTTCTTATCGTTATGAGATGAAATCGAATGAAGGAAATGATCATATCCGTTGGGTATAGGAGGCTTTTTCTTATCAACGAGGTGTATAAGAAAGAACAAATTTAGAGGTTGAAGAGGACATTATATCTCGGGGGTATCAGACATAGTGACGAAATAGGATATAGAGAAATGGGGATAATATGATAAAACATCCATAGGGCTGAGTCGGTCCTTCACGTGTATGATAAGATCTTTTTGACTCCACCTTTTGATAAACAAAGGGATTATTTCCCTTATGCTCCATCAAAGGGGATTGAAGTTAAACATACTTGGTAGTACATATAGGTTAATAGTAGTGATGAGATTCTCATTGTTCTATTATAGCAACAAGTAGTTGTTGGAATCGCTCTTGAATTCTTCTATAGTTTCTCTTCATCTTTCTCTGAGTATCTGGCCATCGTTCTATGTGGGTATGACATTGATTTTACCCCAACAGCCTTCGGGTACATCCATGCCGTATTATAGTCTAACCTTTTACCTTCTATAAGCTTTTGACAGGAATAAACGAGGAATTGGAACTCAACTTTATATTCACATATAATGAATCTTGCCAGATGGTACGGAGCACTCCGAATATATGGAGTACCCCATATTATTAATTACGCGAGGTTAATCGGCAGGGTCCCGGTGAATCATTGGAGCTTTACAAGGCTCCCAAGAAAAAGGCTGTTATACACCGCTATACACCATTACCTATGATTTAGTGTCAGATTCAGAATCTCTACCCCATACTCTGTAGTGTAATTGGGACATAAAATTATAGATTAAATAATGAACATAATCGGTTAAATGCATTAATAAAGTGCGGAGAAAAAAAAAGGGAACCTCCGGAGTTAAGCCGAGTCTGGAAGACTTGGGAGAGGGGAAGATCTCAAATTGACCAATTGACATGAAAATCTCCAAATTCTTGTTCTCCGCACCGAACTCGGAGGGTCCCTGTTTTTCTTTGTTTTCGTGTCTTCTCGTCTTTAACGCTCACCGGTTCCGAAGGGGCCATGTGACACATTTCAACTCCCGGTTTCTCCCTGAAGGTTTTTCTTTCAAAGTCGCCTGTTATTTTTGGTTTTTTTTGTTATTTTTCGCCTTTCATGTCCTACCGTGGTGGCAAACATGGTATCCAAGGAATGATTGGTTAAAGAGTTTTTCTCGAACAAATAAGAAGTTATAGGCTAATTGAGGGATTGGATCTATTGTTATATACGGAATAGACCAGGGGGGAGTAATGCGGAGGTGAGAGCTGATTCGGTCCGATCTGTCCGGGTAAATAACGCCATAATGAAAAAAAAAAAAAATCTCCAAGGGGGTGAAAAATTCAACGTGGCGGGTGTATGCGTGAAATATGTTATAAAGCAATTAAAGCAATAGAAATATGAAATCTATCTACATTATCTATTGTAATATCTAATATTATATTATTATCATAAGAGAAAAAAGTCCACAAAACGTGTACCAAGTGGAACTCCCTTATATTATTTTATACCACTTTTTTCTTGTTGACTCAATCTCTTTCTCCACTCCTTCGACCCCTTCCTTCCCCCAGTTTTTCTCTTTTGGTTTTCGTGTTTATTACTCAATCAGCTTGCACATACACAATGGCCAGCGTAAAAGAAGCTGTAAAGGAATCACTCCTAGGCAGTACCGAGTCGCCTCAGCTGTCCCATCAGGCACGCTCCAACTTTATCCGCCATGCGCAAAAGGACGAGAATGGGGACCTTTTTATGGATAAGGAGAATTTCATTGATGCTGTGGCACCCAAGCAGGAAGACTATGTAAGTGTTACTAGGGCAAAGGTACTGTCGCAATTGCTGACTTGGTTTTTCCTCCCAACAGCACAAGATTAAGCGCGAACAATATGGCATCCTTTTCAACGTCGCAGACCGACGGAGAGCTGGCAAGCTGAACATTACCGACTGGGCCTCCTTCGAAAACCTCCTCGCAAAGCCCGATGCCGAGTACGAGATCGCCTTCCGCCTCTTTGACTTCGATGGAACCGGTAGTGTCAAGTTCGATGCCGTGCAGGGATTGTATAACATGAACAAGAGTGCCGACAGCATTCCCTTTGACTGGAACTCAGAATGGGCATCGCTCTACGGAGGTCGTTCCAAGTCTCGCCATGATATGACCTACCCCCAATTCGCTCAGATGCTGCGCGGTTTGCAGGGTGAGCGTATCCGTCAAGCCTTCCACATCTTCGACAAGGATGGTGATGGCTTTATCCAACCCGAGGACTTCCAGCGCATTATCCTCGAGACCTCAAAACACAAATTGTCCGATCATGTCCTTGAGAACCTCCCCACCCTGTGCAATATCTCGACTAGCAACCGCATCTCCTACGCCAATGTCCGTGCTTTCCAGAATGTCATGCGCGAGATGGATATTATTGATATGGTGGTCCGTGAAGCAACAAAGAAGAGCACCGATGGCAAGATCACTCGTTCCGATTTCCTGAACGAGGCCGCTCGCGTCACCCGTTTCTCTCAGTTTACACCCATGGAGGCTGATATTCTGTTCCACTTCGCTGGACTCGATGCGCCTTCAGGACGTCTCTCTCAGAAAGACTTCGCCAAGGTCATCGATGCTTCATGGCGTATCCCCGGGATCGCTGTAGGCCAGGCCGTGGCTGCTGGACATGAAGTTGCCGAGAAGACTAAGAGTGTCCTTCACGGCGTCCTTGAGTCTGCACACCACTTTGCTTTGGGTAGTATCGCTGGTGCTTTCGGTGCTTTCATGGTCTACCCCATTGATTTGGTCAAGACCCGCCTGCAGAACCAGCGCTCGTCTCGCCCGGGCGAGAGACTGTACAACAACTCTATCGATTGCGCTAGGAAGGTTATCCGCAACGAAGGTTTCACTGGACTGTACTCTGGTGTTATTCCTCAGTTGATTGGTGTGGCACCCGAAAAAGCTATCAAGCTGACTGTGAACGATCTCGTTCGTGGCTACTTCACAGACAAGGAAACCAACCGTATTAAGTACGCCCAGGAAGTTTTGGCTGGTGGAACTGCTGGTGCTTGTCAAGTCGTCTTCACAAATCCTCTTGAGATTGTGAAGATTCGTCTGCAGGTCCAGGGTGAAATTGCGAAGAGCGTCGAAGGTACCCCTCGCCGCTCAGCCCTCTGGATTGTCAAGAACCTGGGTTTGGTGGGTCTGTACAAGGGAGCCAGCGCCTGTCTCCTTCGCGATGTCCCCTTCTCGGCCATCTACTTCCCCACATACGCACACTTGAAGTCCGACTTCTTCGGTGAAACCGCCACAAACAAGTTGGGCGTTGTCCAGCTCCTCACCGCCGGTGCTATCGCCGGTATGCCCGCCGCCTACTTAACCACACCTTGCGACGTCATCAAGACCCGTCTGCAAGTCGAAGCCCGTAAGGGTGATACCAAGTACCACGGTCTGCGCCACTGCGCTTCCACCATCTGGAAAGAAGAGGGTCTAGCCGCCTTCTTCAAGGGTGGACCCGCCCGTATCATGCGTTCTTCGCCTCAATTCGGTTTCACCCTTGCTGCATACGAGGTGCTGCAGAAGGCCTTGCCCATGCCTGGTGAGGGCGACGCCATCACGCCCACTGGCCACGTTGAGCCTAGTGTCGGTGGGCAAGGTGCTAAGGCGCCTCTACCTTACCTCCGGTCAAGGAACGCGCTGAAGATCATCCTTGATCTGGACCAGAACATTGGCCGGGTGCAGGTCCCACGGCCTGAGAACTGGCCCAAGTTTCTGCAGAGCTCGAAGTGAGGTTGCTGTTATTTACTGAATCTGCTACTTCTCGTCTTTGTTTCTTCATCTTTTTACTAGCGATATGTTTCTCATTTCTCATTTGGTCAAGGCCTATCTTTCTCTTTAGCATGAGATCTTTCTCACATTTCTTTCGGATTCTTTTCATGTCAGCCCTCTTTGTGGTTTAGTTGGGCTTGGCATGGGTTGTACATCCCCCCCCTTTGCATCATGATGTCTTCTCTCCACTTGCCGGAGACCACCTGTGTTTGCATTGTACCAACAGCAGATAGATATGGAAAGAAGGTGTGGGTTGTCTTAGAGGGCCCTGAATGTGGTGTTTCTATCAATCTAGATTTGGTTTGGGTTGATATTCTTCTATTTCTTGACGTGGATCTAAACGTAAACAAATGTATAGTTCATCCAAGATGTGCATAGAGAACAGTATATATATCTAGATCAAGAATATGGTTTTGACGTGATAATCTGCACTGGGCTAAATTGTAATTCTAGTTCTGTGTTTACCCCAATCCCGGGAAAATATATACATGAAGCATAGTTTGCAAGCTCACAAACGGGTATCGGAATCTACTCAAAAGGAAAGATTCCCTGTACAGGTGATGTTACATTTATATCCTCGAGGATATATTGGTTATGGCCTGGGCCCACGTGTGGGAAATGCTAGACCCAGTTGTTGTAGATAGAAAGACATCCCATCCTGATCTAAATGATCGATTTGATATTGAGGCGGAAGTGGCTCAATGCGGTGGCGTATATTCCGAGCCCATATGACGGAGCCCCAAGATCAGAGGCTTGTTCTTGATGAAGACCGAATTCAGTCCCAATTTAATAGAATCTAAGCTTCCGTGTTGACTCTTTCTTAGTGACTTCCTCGGTCTTCTTTTCTTCCGAAGGCTGTGTAGGTTGTTTTTGTTCTTTCTCGGGTTCCTGTTGCTTCTCTGCTTGGGACTGGGCGGTCTTCCTCTCATGCCATAGAGAATCCTCGGCTTCAATCTCGCGCAGTACTAGAGAAATGGTCAGACTCTAACCATAGAATAGGATTGTCGGATATTGAACATACCTTCGTCCCACTCTCGTTCCTTTGCCTCATCGCCCGTTCCCAACAACTTCTCCACATCAACCTTCTCTCCATTCTTGACTCGTGCAATAATCTCCGCCAGAAGCTCAATCTTCGCATCCGTCGTCCGAGTATACGCCGCATAGCCGTTCTTCAATGTGAGCATGCGAATGGCCTGCGAGCCGATAAGAGTGAACATGATGATGTAGAACGTCGCCGGGTTCCATTCTTTAGATTTCTCTTTCGCGGGATCCTTGCGCGCTCTGCCACCCCGAAGGAATCGGGGAATCATTGCCGTCCATACTGACGTGTCTGCGATCTTCGGAAGACGATCGGAGGTCGAATATGAGCGCCCAGCCGGAGCACGGCATTGTCTGGTAGCATTTAATGTAGAAGGAGCAGAAAATATCTGTCTGCTTAGCCCAAAGGGCTTGAATCTGAAAGCCATAGCTCTGTTTGCGTCTAGTAGTACTCGTCGATCTTCAGAAGCGGGAAAAGTTGAGGTTGTGATTGCCTGAGGCGATAAGGCTATCAACCATCTTAATACGGTATAGCGTTGTTGTTGCTGCGACAACCCCCCCCGTTTAGTGTCCGATAGCGATTGCACATCAAAGGCTCGACGCGAGCGATGACCTCAGTCCTGCAGCTTCGATAAAACGACCAAAAATGGCGGTCACCGTCTTACCGGCCAGCTCTTTAACAGAGTCAGTGAAACAGGCCCTTCGATCAACGACAACATGCTCAGACGCTACTGTGTTGTCCCTCCAAACACTCCTCCGCGGATCGCCAAAGATGCCCGAGAAACCCACGAAACGCACAAAGTCCACAAGAGAACCACCCGCCACCCCGAGTCGGACGAGAACTTCCCGTACAACGAGGACGAAACCTGCTAGTGATACGGCGCTGCAATCATTGGCCGATCACGACACCGCGGCTTTGTCGTGTCAGGAGAAACTGGTCTTTGCTACGGAGGTGTTCAATGCTACGTTAAAGACCCTCACGGATGCCGCGAAGATATCCACAGCGAAACGCCAGAATAATGCCCCCGATACTGGCCCTGATGCAGGCATCGTCTCTGCTGCAGAGTGCGCTAGGCTTTCTTTGTCAACACTGCGCACCCTTAAAAATGATGCTGGGAACGACCAGTTCCCGAATATGCAGCTCGAGCAGGGGCTGTGTGTGCTTGCGGGAAAGCTTATCTCCTTGGGGCTGAATGACGTGGCATACAAAGAGCTTCGGCTTTTGAAGCGGAGGATACAACAACATCTAGATGGCGGGAAGGCCGGGAAGAAGACCACAGAGGCGAAGGAACTGGCGGATGAAGAAGCCTCGAAAGAACGGATGTCGGATCTCTTGACGTTCGCTCACATCTCGAACGCGAAATCGTTGTACGGCTTGCTTGTTCCTTTTCACTCGAATGTGATGCGGCTATTTGCTGCGGATAGAAGAGCTTCTACAATCCAGAAGGTCTGCCCTTCTTTGCAACTTTCAGATTCAAGTAGCCCTGCTCAAGTCATTTTGGCTGCTATGAAGTCAGGTCAACTGTCGAATGACAAAGCTGCTCTACAACTCCAGCTATTATCGAATACAATTCTATCGCTTTGCTCCGGGACATCTTTCTCGAAGGATGAGGCCTCGAATAGTTTGAAGCCAACCACGTCATTGGCTTTGCAACTACTTTCTCTCGAGGTTCGATGCTTGGGCTGGAAGCTGTCCGGTCATGTCTGTGATGAGAGCAAGGAAGTGTTCGATCCTTTGCTTCGTTATTTTGGTAGCTTTTCTCACCGGAGCAGAGGTATTGAGAAAGCTGAGTTTGCTTCAATCTACCAAACGGTTACCCGGTTGCAAACATCCATTGCAGATGTTAAGAAGAAGTCATCAGAAACACAAAACGCCAATCAGGCTGCAAAGCTCATGACTATTCTCGGGCAGCTCGCGTTCGATGCGGGCTGTTTTGATGAATCTATGAAGCTTTTTGCTCAAGCCATCAAGCCCCTCTCAAAAACCCAATCTCTTTCGCTGGCAACGGTTCGGTGTAAAATCGCATCTGTTCATTTCCAGGCTTCCAAGACATCGAAAAAGTTCCTGGACGGAGCTTTGGATTCTGTGTCAGAGGCGACCCAATCCCTAGGACTGCAATTAAGAGGCAGTGCGAACGACCTAGATGAACTGCTGGTGGAAGCTGCACGACTGAAGAAGCTGGCTCTTGCGTGGTTCGGAGAGGCTATGACAAAAAGTTCCGAAACCGAAAACGAGAAAAACGAAGTTGCTAGTCAGATCAGGGAATATCTACAAGCATTCATCAGGTTCCTCAGACGCTATGTTGGACGCCTACCAACAGAGGATGGCGACGAAAAAGAGATTGAGATGTTCAACAAACGCATTTCAATTTCTAGGAGCATTATTCTAGCTGCCATTGATTCGACTGTTGCAATTGGGAAACTTTCGATCATGTCCCAGAGGCCACCATGGGCAGACATGCTTCCGATTCTGTCTGATTGCCACCGCTTGCTCTCCGCTATTGAATCTTCCAATGAGCAAAGCACAGAGACAACAGAAAACGTAGGAATGGCACTTGTCAAGCTTTCAACCCTTTTCTGGTCTCGATACATCAAAGAAAAAGAAGCTGGACAGGGTTATCGGGAGCTTATACCCCTTCTCAAACAATCTACCCAGCTGCTTTCAAGCTGCTCGCCGTCTCAACGCAGCACGGCGTTTGCAGCCCTCAAGTTCGAGAGAATGGCCCATCTGTACATCGAGGGCAATATGTACATTGATTCAGAGCTGATGTTTCGACAATCAATTGAAGAATACATTCTCTCTGGCACTCTAGAGCAGATCGTCAAGAGCAACGGAGGACACAATCCAAGTTCGGTCGACCAGGATCCTAAGAGCCCTGGGTTCATGCTTGGCCGTGTATTTTCTGCCTTCCTGAAGATGAAGCTGCGCAGGAAGGGATCCCACCCCTCTGTTGTCTATGATGATGTTGAACTAGAATTCGAGCAAAGAGGTCTTCTTCTTGAATGGCAGATGAGCTTGCTTGTTGACATGCATAGCTATTGTTCAAACGAAGAAGAGTTCCGCTTGATGCTTGGCTCGGCTGTTTCCTCCCTCCTCGATCTCTACCCCCCTGACGTCTACCCTATTCGCCATTCTCGTGTGATTCTCTCTGCCTTGCGGCTTCTACTGGAGCAGCCTACTGCCTTGGATTCTTCTTTGATTGAAACTCTGCTAGATGCAGGAACAAAAGCTTTGGATGGCGGGTTACAAGTCCGAGAGGACATTGATCTTGCTTCATTTGCAATCCATATTAGCAACTCATTACGCGTCATCGTCGGCTTTCACCGCGGCAAGATTGATGCAAGCGAACTAGATGAAACGCTTGCATCGTGGACTTTATTGGCGCGCAAGTCCCACGACTGGAATACACTGCTGCTCTGCATCAATGACACGGACTACTGGGTCTTGCAGTTGAAGGCCCTGGTTGATTATACCGAAATCCACGGGCTTTGGAAAGCTCAGCTATGCACCCTGGAACTGATATTGCGTGCCGCGGAGCTCCAGCAATCAGGGGACCTGTCAGATGCCATCATCATTCTGTCGCGCTTGGTATTGCAGAATTGCCGCCTGGGCTACTGCCAAAAGGCAAGTGAACTCCTATCGCGTGGTGAGCAGTATCTTGCTCAAACCAAGGTATCTTCTCTTGCTACCATTTCCTACAAAGTTGCGCGGGTGGAATATCTTTTAGAGACCGGAGAACCCGAGAAAGCAGCAGCCGTTCTTTCAGCGGCCCGCGCTCTCTATGAAAAGTGCCAGAAGTCAGAACTAAGCAACTTGACTGTCCTGTCGAAGATCTCATGGGAAAGAATGGTAGCAGATGCCGCCTTCGTTCAGTCAAGGTTGTTCGCCGCGCAGGGCTCAGCAACCCAGGCTCTGTACTTCGCAAAGTTATCTGTACGACTCAATTGCCGCATATGGGCTAAGGTTGAGAGGCTCGCCCAAAGAAAGCAAGACAAACTGCTACCCGCAGCAGGAAGCTCTGATGTTGAGGCTGTTGCTGATGGTATCGCAAAGCTTGATTTGTCCCAGAACGGGTCTTCCCCGGATGTGTCTGCTAGCTATGTTCAAGGTGCGCCTTTCTGGCCGCATCTGGGTTCCCACCATACCTGCTTGTTGAACCTAGCTACATTATCTGCCCACCATGGCTTGTTCCAGGATGCTATCTATTACAGCGAGCAAGCACTGAAGATTGATAAAACTCTTGATGCGAATGCACGGCTACTTGCGGCGCAGACCCAGCTCGGTTGCCATTGGATTCTCAGTGGGCACATGACTGAGGGACAGGACCATCTCTCTGCGGCGGCTGAGTCGTCTAAACAAACCCAGAGAAGTATTGAAACCGTGTCTTTCCAAATGGCTCTTGCATCCCTATACAAGACGCAGGGTGCACATGAGAAGGCACTCCGCGTTCTTCTTGAAGCAGACAAAATTATCACAGCCGTCACCTCTGCTGATGTGCTTGCCAATCCGGAGGCCTCAGGAATGGCAGAAATCGAAGAAAAGATGGACAAGTTACGGGTTAGAGCAAGCAGCCGGCGAACCCCAACACCTCGGACCCCAACACCTACTACGACTACTACTACTCGGCGAACCCGTGCAACCAGTTCCACTACTACCAAAACCACAAGGAAATCTTCAGCTCCAAAATCAACTCTCCCCGAAGTCCAATCTAAGTCCCTATTACAACTGAAAGGCAGCATCCTCAGACAGCAAGCTGATTGCCTGAGAGAATTGCGCGACTTTGAGCGATCTGCGCAAACACTCGCAGAAGCCAGACAATTTGCCGTGGCCAGAGAAAGCAAGATCACTCTGGAGATCGGTGAAAGCGAGCATCTGTTGGCTGATGCAATTCGCCGTTTTGCCAGCCATGCCGTGTACTGCGTCTTACCTGAATCTACAATCTCGTTGCCATCACTCAAAACACCAAGCAAGACGATAGATGAACCTAGCTTACCCACGACAAAGCCATCGACAAGGAGAACCAGGGCTCCCGCCAAAACAACACGCACTAAGGCTCAAAGAGCCAGTGAGGACTTTTCGGTTATGCTGTCCAAGGCGAGCGATTGTCTTGCCAGTGTCTTCTCCGATGCCACAATTCTAGGTTCAACGCTTGATAGCCATGCAGCATCTCGCTTGATGAGCCGGATATCTATGCTATCGCATGCGACTTCTCCCGGGATCCCAGCGACTCTAGCTCAGTCGCCTGCAACTATGAATGGTAAGTCTTGCGAA